AGAAAGTAGAGGCTGAATAGAGGCTGAAAAGGGTTGTCAGTTTGTGCCTAGAGGAGGGCATTGTATGGATGTGATGGGGCACAGAGTCATCTTTTCTTTTTTCTTCTTCTTCTTCTTCTTTTTATTTTTTGGTAAGTGGAGTAAGCATTCTCTCATGAATTAGAAATGCTGGTTTATTAGGCAAGTCTCCTATAAGGACCCCATCACAGTACTCTTTTTGGATGCCTCCAGACCATATTGACTTTATCTCCTTCCTGCCTCCTCACAGTGCTCCTCAGGCATTTGGTTTGGTTCCTTGATGGCACCCTGTCTTGACCTGTTCTTTAATTGTTTTGTATGCATTGCTGAAATTGCTCCTTTAGGCCAGGATTTACACCTTTCACAGCAACAGAGTAAACACAGCAAAAACTTTACAAATTGATTTAAAATCTTGGCCTTTTAACAATTGAACTTTAAAGTATGTTGTTTTTACCTATCATTGAGCAGTGGTTCTCAAACCTTAGCTGAAGGGTTTGTTACAACAGAAATTGATAGGTCCCACCCCTAGAGTTTCTGCTTCTGCTTCTGTTAGAATTTTCATTTTTAACAAGTTCCCAACTAATGCTGCTGACTTGGGGATAACTCTTAGAGAACCTCTGCTCTAGAGAATGTACACTTTTTCCTCTGATGGTTTCCTATTATGGGCTACAAAAGTCTGATTTTTATATTTTTGGAGAAATTAAATGGTATCTTTGTAACTCAAGTACCAGACTTCAAATTAGTAAGCCAAACAAATGTGATTAACACCTTTATAAGTGTTATGATGCTTTAAAAATAGTCAACCATGTTGGAATGCTAAGTTGTAAACTACGGTTCATTTGAAACTTGGTAGGCTGCCTATTGTGTCATGCTCAGCTTTTCAACTCATGCTTTTTGACCTACAACCATTTCTCTACAAGCAGCCTCAACCCCAGGTTAGATGTCCTGATCATACTTCCCCTTGTTTCACTCCCATTCTCAGAGGGTCATCTTCAGCATCCCCATGCCCAAGAAATCTCATGGTTTGGGGAAAAATTAGGTGTGACCTCCCTTTCACCAACTACCTATTTAAAAAATTTTTTTTTTTAAGATTATTTATTTATTTATTTATTGGACAGAGAGAGACACAGAGAGGGAACAGAAGCAGTGGGAGAAGGAGAGGGAGAAGCAGGCTTCCCGCTGAGCAGGGAGCCTGATGTGGGGCTCGATCCCAGGACCCTGAGATCATGACCTGAGCCGAAGGCAGACGCTTAACGACTGAGCCACCGAGGCGCCCCACCAACTACCTATTTTAAAGCACATGAATAAAATGCATGTTGTAACCAATATCATGCACTTTTGTTTTAGCTCCATGGCCTGTGGGGCTCTTCAGGTTAACATTATATACTTATTCCTAGCCTCATAAGTACAATGAGGTATATTACAGAACTTTTGACGTTTGAAAGTCCTTACTCTCGGAAAGAGAAAAATATTCTAAGCTGAGAAAATGCACTTTCATGTGGATAAGTGGAGCAGAATTGGAGGCTATCAAAAGTTTTGGTAAGTCTGTTCTACAGTAGGAGCTTCTCGCAGCTTCAGGACTAATATTTTGAAGTCTTTGTTTTTTATGGCTTTACAGGGCAAGCTTGATTCCCAGAGTGAGGATGAGCCTATCCCCAGGACTTTAACAATGTCTTCATAATAGATCAGATGTTGTGAGGTTTCTTCTTTTACCTAGCCTTCCGTTGAACCTAATACCCTTGCCACTTATTGCTCAATGTCTTCATATACTTTCTTTGTGTGTGGGAGGTTTGCTGGTCCAGCTCTCTGCACATAGTAGGCTTCATAAGGATAAGTCTGTACATTTTTAGGTGTCCTCCCCTCCCCCATCACGAGACTAAAATGGTCAGATCATGAGACAAGCAAATCAAAGAAAATAAGCAAAACAGATCGTGTAAAAGACAAATACTGCAATTATCAAGCAGAAAAGAAGTGAAAGTCTTTTAAAAAGACAACATATTTGGAATAGGTTGTGGAAATGGAGGCTTCAGAAACTGCCACCCATGTACACAGAACTACTTCTCAGCTGTATTTCACTGAGTAGATGAAAGGAAGAGATTGCAAAAGAAAAAAGAAACAAAGCAAAACAAAGCTGCTCAAGTCACTACCACAGGACAAAGCTCCTGACATTCTAAGTTCTTCAGAAGAAATAGACCATAGAAATGTTATAAACAGCCAGAGTCTCCTCTCCTTGCCCTTACTCAAATTCTTTACACTAATACAAATTTCAGAGTTGTAGTACAGGTCTTTTTGTTTTGTTTTGCTTTGTTTTAAATAGTTTGTAATTAGGGAGATTTCTTTGTTTAGTACAGTCTGTCCAGCCGGTAACTTACATGTGCCAAGAGTAGCATGGCGTCCTTAGGTCTTGTACTAGGGAGTAGTAATTAGAACTGGATGAATCTCATTTAACATAGTGGTCTGATGTCAGGCCCACACCCTTGTTCTTCAAATTCAGAGAAAAGTTAAATTGGTACAAAAATAAATTTTCTTGAAACATTGCTCCCTGGACTTGACATTTTGGTGTTTTGGTTCTTTTGATCTTTAGCAATGAGTACTGAGGAGTAAATAACAATGGGAGCCTTTCTGAGAATACCACATGAACATGGTAATTTATAAAGTAAAAGTTGCCAGATGTCCAGGAGTCTCCATTTTAGGCTCTTGGACTGCAATTCCAGTATCCATGACCCTGGTGTGTTAAATGAGAGTCTGAACTGGTGAAGGTACATCCCATCACATGTGAAGGTGTCTTCACATTGAGCATTGGTTGGAAAGTTCATTAACAGAGAGATTTAAGCTTTGTGTATGTGTGTGTATCTGTATTTTTGTGCAGTTCAGCAATATAAATTACAAATGACAATGTGCTCGAAAACTTTAGAGTAAAATACCCATAAAATAAATAAAACAAAAAAGATAAAATGCCAGAACTGAAAGTAGCCTCAGAGTTCTTCTTTTGCACCACTCATTATAGGTTAAAAAATCGGTGTTAAGAAAGGGGAAATGATGTTTAAGACCCCACAGCTTTATGCCATTTCCTGTTTATCTACTTTTTATTTTTTAAAGATTTTATTTATTTATTTGACAGAGAGAGACACAGCAAGAGAGGGAACACAAGCAGGAAGAGTGGGAGAGGGAGAAGCAGGCCTCCTGCAGAGCAGGGAGCCCAATGCGGGGCTCGATGCGGGGCTTGATCTCAGGACCCTAGGATCATGACCTGAGCTGAAGGCAGATGCTTAACAACTGAGCAACCCAGGCACCCCTGCCACTTCCTGTTTAGATCCCCTATGGGATTTCAATGACTTTCACTCACTGTACCTTTGCCAAGACTTTTTAAAAAATGAAAGAGTGGCGGGCTGAGGATCAGGCAAAGAGAATGGATGAAGAAAATTAGTTGCTGCAGGAAGAGCACCATTTATCAGGAGAAACCCGCACAGTAGTGACAAGAGTGTTCTTGAGTTGGCTGTCCTCCACCTTCATCCTACCCTACCCAGCTGAACTACAGAAGTGATGGCTGGCAGAGACAGTCTCTCCTATGTCCAGGGAAGCGGTGCTGTTTGATCTCATCCTCATGCTTCTTCCCATTTACCAAGATATCTAAAGCTTTTTTTTTCCTTCCCAAAGGTCAGAAATGCTCACTCCCATTTAAGATGATTTTTTATTTTTTTTGAGGTTGGCAACTGCATGTCTGAGACTAGATAACAAAAATGCTTTCATAAGGGTCAAAATACAAAAAGGCAAACCTATGTCATGACACAGGGAAGGATTTTGACTGCTTTTCCAAAGACAGTGAACCAAGAGTGAAATGGAGGGAGAAGTCATGAAAACCAAGTGCATGAAAAAATAAAGACTCTCAGAAAAGCAATCTGAACCTAGGACTTCATTCAGCACTTTTCTTAATCTTTGGGGCTTTTGACATTTTTTTCTCTCCAAATGTAAGAAAATAAGGATAGTTTTCTAGAACAGAGAACAAAATATCTTCTCCAAAACATTAGCTTATGCAGGCTGACTGGGAAAGCCGTTCTTAATGGGGCACTGGATTGATGATAACCCCCCCTAGTGATTTGGGGATTACTGAGTGAAGAACTTCTTTTTGGCTCCAAAAAAATCTAACTGAATTTCTACTTGAAGTTGAACACAAGGTCGGGATAACCCAGCATCATCCTGGAGTTGAGTGAGTTTACTTCTTCAATCAGCTTTTTTGAAAAGCTTTGAATAATTTAATAATAACAGACAGCATATAATTAGTAAATAGATGTTTTAGGAATCCTCAAAGGTTTGGGAAACATGAAGTTTCTTAAAAGAGGAAATTTAGGAAATTAATGGAATTAAGTACCTTCACTTATAAAGAACTGTAATACTATTCAGCATCAGGAAGACAAGAATAGTGTAGAAGAAACACTCTTAAATTTGGAAAATTTTAGTACAATGGCAAAAGAGGAATTAAATTAATCTTGATAAAGGAAATGGGAGTGAGTACAATAAAAGAGAATACACTATTTTTCTAAGATTACGGTGCACGGAATACACCAAGCGTCTGGAAATATCTTCCAGTAAGAGTTAATGGCTAGTATATATGCAAAGCAATTGCAGTTATAGTGAAAGGTCTCATTTACTTGGTACTTGCTATTGACTAGACTCAGGGGTGAAGAATTTTGCAAATGATGTCTAATTTAATCCTTGAGACAATCCAGTGAATTAAGTGCTTTTACATCTGTTTTACAGATAAAGAAAATGGAGGTTTATGAAGGTTGAATAACATGTCAAGTCTTAGAGCTAATAGGCGTGGGAAGTAGAATTTGTAGCTCATCTCTCTTTGCTCTGAGCCTTTACTTCAACCACTTAATTGTTCTTTCTGTATCCATTGTTTCCTTTAATTGTCTCTTAAGAAGTTCACTCCAGGGCCATTTTGGCGGCTGGTTTTAGGTTGGGGCCGTCCCGCATCTAAGGCAGGAAGCTGGTGGCCGCAAAGAAGACGAAAAAGTCACTGGAGTCGATCAACTCCAGGCTCCAGCTTGTTGTGAAAAGTGGAAAGTACGTGCTGGGGTACAAGCAGACTCTGAAAATGATCAGACATGGCAAAGCGAAACTGGTCATCCTCGCCAACAACTGCCCAGCCTTGAGGAAATCTGAAATAGAATACTATGCCATGTTGGCCAAAACTGGTGTCCATCACTACAGTGGCAATAATATTGAATTGGGCACAGCATGTGGGAAATACTACAGAGTATGCACACTGGCTATCATTGATCCAGGTGATTCTGATATCATTCGAAGCATGCCAGAACAGACTGGTGAAAAGTAAATCACGCATAATTTTTCTTTAATAAAACTGGCCACAGCTTGTTTAAAAAAAAAAAAAAGAAGTTCAGTCCAAATGCCTGTCAGAAATCTCTATAAGTGTTGGAAATTAAACCAATTCTCCTTTTTAATTTGTGTGGGAATAGTCTGATATTTACTAATCGAAAGACTATAATCCTGAAAGCAGACTGAGGTTTAAAAGCAATTTAAATTAGATGAAACTTTGCATTATTATATATGAAAATATGCATAGCTTACATTTAAAAAAATGCCATTCATCTAAATTTTAACATTTTCTAGTATGAGCGTATTTATATGAGATTACTATTTTTAAAAAAATGTGCTTTTTAATCTAGATTTAGTTTTTGCTAGCATAAACATATTTATATTAGATTAGTATTCCACTGGGTTCAAATATTTGCTTTTTGCTTCAGTGAACACCTGTTAGTCCCATTAGAAATCTGTTTTTGACATTTACTATTTAACAAGCCCATTATTTGGCACCCACTCTTTTAAAAGTGACCAGTTCAAGAACTGACTGTGACTTGGGTAGTTCTTCTTAACAAATGAGGTTATTAAATTCCTTGTAACTGGCTCACAATGAAGCTTATATTTTATTTACAAAATGGCAGTTGACACCAGTTGTTTGAAAAATGTCAGTCTGATGAGAAAACCGCTGCCACCTGAAAAATGTAGGCCAAACTCCAAGAAAAGCATTATTTTGTATAAGTCCTGTGAGGATTCAGCTTGAACTAAAGGGCTCTCATTTGGCTCTGATGATGAAGTTCATGATTCACTTTTTAAAAATGAGAAGGTGCAAACCAACTGCTCATTCTTTATGAAGTCTTTTACAAGTTTGCAAATGCATTGCCTACTCAAGTACATTGCTAAGTAGACAATCACAGAAGTATATCACAGTGGAATACATGTTAGAAAAATGGACAGTGGTTTTGGGGGTCCAGAGCAGAGGGTGGCTGAGTCTTCTGGCAGGGATGGGGGAAACGATCATAAAGGAGTATTTTCTCTGGGTTTGAAGGTGTTGGCAAAATACATCAGATCAAGGCTACCATGCATCAGAAGAATTTGCTGTTAAGAAATTTGAATTGATAACTACTTTTTTCTTTAAAGTTTTCTAGTGGAAATTAACCTTTATTTGTCTTTTGCACAGAGAACAGTTTTACCTGCTTTTTTCCCACTTACTCCCATTGAATGTATGTTGGGTGTACCCAGTCCTCTGTCATTCCATAGATCTCTGAAGCCCCTGGGAATCAAATGAGGACCAAGTAGTGTGAATAATGTGTTCCTTGGTGAACATCTTCTCTTTAAATGTCCTCATTTCAGGAGAAAAAAGGGATATGCTTGGAGACTGGCCTGAGAAGTCAGCATAATTCAAATGAAAAATATATTAGATCAATTAAAAATAATTTAGCTCTCTGCTAGCTAGCTGCTAGCTTCCTTAAATCATTTCTTATCCAAGCTAGCCCAGTTGGATATATAGATTATATATAGATTAGATTATAATCAAGTTGTGCCAAATTCTGCAATTTACCTCCTTAGTTTTCTGGGTTCTCAATGGGTTTTCAGGGACCATAGCAAAGAAACCAGAAGGTGGGCACTAGATTACCACATTTGCTTGGCTTATCAGCAAAACCAAGAGGTTACTGTGTACCTCTATCCCACCACTATTGTTCAGGGAGATTTTGTGGGCACACACTAAACTCATTTCCTAGATTGGCAGGGCACACTAAATTCTGGACTATGATTTGAAATGGAGATCACTGTTATCTCATTAGCCATGAACTTCATTTTTTTTAAAAGATTTTATTTATTTGACAGAGAGAGTGATAGCAAGAGCAGGAACACAAGCAGGGAGGGTGGGAGAGGGAGAAGCAGGCTTCCAGTGGAGCAGGGAGACCAACACAGGGCCTGATCCCAGGACCCTGGGATCATGACCTGAGTTGAAGGCAGACACTTAACGACTGAGCCACCCAGGTGCCCCATGAACTTCATTTTTTGAGGAATTGAAAGAATTATATAGGGGCGCCTGGGTGGCTCAGTCGTTAAGCATCTGTCTTCGACTCAGGTCATGATCCCAGGGTCCTGGGATCAAGCCCTGCATCGGGCTCCCTGCTCAGCAGGAAGCCTGCTTCTCCCTCTCCCACTCCCCCTGCTTGTGTTCACTCTCTTGCTGTCTCTCTCTCTCTCTCTGTCAAATAAATAAATAAAATCTTAAAAAAAAAAGGAATTAGATAACTCAGAGGACATTGGACAGTTATTGATAGCCTTTGTAATAAACTTAAAAATTGACATTTAAAAAAATAGAGGTAGAAACATTTTAATGTTGGACCCATTTTTCCTGGTGAAACCACACTAAGATTTTGAAAACAATCTAGATTTGCCTGATAATGGTGGTTCTTCACATTTTTTTCTATTGTGATACATATGGTTACATGTGAGACACTCTTATGGCTAAACACAGATTTGGAAGTTGAATTACTACTTAGATAAAATAGATTTTGAATCATGCACAAATCATGTACTCTAATCTCCATTCTTTTTTCAAAATTCATTTGCCATACAACTGTGTATCTCAAGATCCCAGTTAAGGAGAACTTAGTGTAGAAGAGTAAAGATTTTGTTCTTCACTTCCTATTCCCCCTGAGTATTTCTGGTTGAGATCAACACAGGCAAATTTAAAGATCTAGAACAGATGTCTAATGTTATTAGTGGTGAGGATGAAGTGGGGAGTGAGTAGGAGGACACAGTAGTCAGTATGAGTTTTCTGCTTAGTCATAAAAGTTCTTGAGAGACTAAAATATGAGATGGAGAGTATATTGTGGTATGCCTCTTGTTAGGTATGCCCATGGAATTATTCTTGCACATATTTACATATGAAGTATAGTAGAATAAGAAAAAAAAGATGGAAAGCCACTGTTAAATGTGCTATATTTAAAAAGATCATGAGCTCAATTAAGAATATAATGATATATTAGCCTATACCTCTTTTCTGACCATCATTCATACATTTACCTGTACCCCAAATCTAGGGGTCAGCTTGTCACCTCCCCCTAACTCCAACATAAATCCAATTTATGACCTATTTCATTTACAAATAGAAATTAATTCTATAATTGATTATAATTAATATTTCCCTGTCCAAGTCTAGTTATATCATCAGAACCTTAGTTCAAGTTGTCACTTTTCTTTGCCTGGACCATTATAATTATTGCCTTACTATTATCACTAAATACATTTGACACATGCCAATTGAAATCAGAATATTGGAATTTTAGGACAAAGAAAATCATTCTGTCAGCTAGGTTTTGTTTTTATTAAAGAAAAAACTATTGTTGACCCTTGAAAAATGTGGGGCTTAGGAGAACTGACACCTCTGCCATCAAAAATCTGTGTATAACATTCGACTCCCCCAAAACTTAACTACTAATAGCCTATTGTTGACCAGAAGTCTTACTGATAACATAAACAGCTTACATATATATTGTATGTTATGTGTATTATATACTGTATTGTTACAATGAAGTAAGCTAGAGAAAAGAAAACGTTATTAAGGGAATCATAAGGATGAGAAAATACGTTTATAGTATTGTATTTATAAAAAAAAAAAATCTGCCCATAAGTAGACCTGTTCAGTTCAAACCTGTATTGTTCAAGGGTCAACTATATATATAGATGGTTTCTATTAAATGCTATTAAAATAGCATTTATGCTCTTGTTTTTTGTAACTCCAAAGAAATTGTACTTCAAACACAATCTCCATCAACTATGTAGCTCATGCCAGGTGCACAGTTAGCTATTAACAAGAGACTTCTGCATAATCAATCACAACAATAATTCATATCTAGAAGAGGAAGGAAAAAATCCTTCTTTTTGTCAACAAAGAAATTTAGAGTGGGGCAATATGATGTTAACTTGAATTATCTAGATAATTGGGCATTGTTAAATTGATTTTATGACTTTAGTGAAAATGGCAGAAAATTCTGTCCTTCATAAAAGCAATGAGAAAACTGGCAAAAATTGTCAGAATCAGAATTTTCAGAACTCTGGAATTTGATAAAAGGCTGGTAGCAATCTGGAGCGCATTTACTCAGGAAAAGTGGCTGAATCTCAGTAAGAGCAGAGAGCTTTGTGATGTTTTAATTTATTATAGCTCCATCCTCTGGTCTTCAGCTCTGTGGTAGACTTGAAAACCAACAGTCTGCAGTCACAGTGAAACCCAGCAGCCTGGCAGCAAACTGGAAGGGATAGAAGGGGGTTGAAACTCCTTTAAAGACCTGTTACTAGAGCACTGTCATTATTTGTCCTGTTTGTCAGTCCACTGGAAGACCCCACTTGCAAAACTGTTTATTTGAACTCAGAGATCACCAGTGCAAAAAACCTCTGCTTTGAGTTTGTTCCTCAAAAACAATCACAGGAATTGCTTAATTTCATAGCTCCCTGAAGCAGTGGATAACTGTTATGGAGACTGACCATAAAACCAAAAAGGAAAATGGGGGAATGATTTCCATAGGGACTTTGAAAAATGCTAATATATTCTTGGGAGTCTATGAGGCCATGAACATGCATAAGCATATGAGCATGCTCAAAAAAAAACCCGTAAGGCTCTAACTTTTCACCTGGTTGTTGTTTCTTGAGGCTGGTTGTTTTTTGAGGCTCTGTGTAAGCAGGAAGTGAAAGCTAAGGCAGAGTCATCAAGTGTTTGGCTAAAAGTTAGAAAGTGTTACTGAAGTTCCATGAGAACTAGAGCTAAAAAGAAGGGATCACTCAGAGGGAGCTTTAGCCTCCCATTAGCCAAACCTAATATTGGTAAGGGAATCCAGGATTGGTCCAAATCTAAGACAAAAGAACCCAGGGGGGTAGGTTTAGGTCCTGCCTTTGGACATTTTTCAATTAAAAGGAAATGGTGGGAAAGCTTCTTTTGGAAGATTGTTAGGCCCCAGGGAAAATAATCAAAACCCACAAATAAACAAAATAAAACAGTGGTTGTCAGAGAACTGGAAAGGGGGGAGGGCATTGCCTGCAAATGGGCACAAGGAACTTTTTGGGA